CGACACAGCTGCCGCCTCTACAGCAGCAGCAGCAGCAGCAGCTGCTGCTGCTGCTCTCCAACCTCTATCTGCTGCTGCTGCTGCAGCAGCAGCAAGAAGCTTAGGCGGGACACTCAGCACTGAATCGAATTCACGATGCAGCAGCAGCAGCAACAGCAGCAGCAACCACAGCAAATGCAGCAACAGCAGCAAATGCAACAGGTTCAGCAGCAGCAGCAGCAAATGCAACAAATACAACAGCAACAGGGAATGCAGCGACAAATGGAGCCGCAGCAGCAGCTGCTGCAGCAGCAGCCACTGCTGCTCCAGCAGCAACAACTGCTGCAGCAGCAGCAGCCTACCGAGCAGCAGCTCGAGTCTTGGCAGCAGAATGTGCTGCAGCAGCGGCTGCAACAGCTACAGCCGCAGCAGCAGCAACAGCAGCAGCAACAACAACAGCAGTGTCTAGATCAGCAGCAGCAGCAGCCGCAGATGCAGCAACAACTGCAGCAACCACAGCTGCAGCAGCCACAACTGCAGCAGCCACAACTGCAGCAGCAGCAACAGCAGCAGCCACTGCTGCAGCAGCAATACATGCAGCAGCCATATGTGCAGCAGCAGCAGTTGCAACAACAGCAATTGCAGCCGCCATTGCAGCAGCAACAGCAGCAACAACCATCACCACTTTCTCCTTTCCAGAGGCAGCAGCAGCAGCAGCAGCAACAGCTGCAGCAACAACAGCAGCAGCTGCAGCAACAGCAGCAGCAGCTGCTTGTGCAGCAGATGCTGCTAAAGCAGCAGGAGCCTCAGCAGCAGCTTGCAGGATGGCAGCAGCAGGGGCCTATGCCTATGCTGCAGCAGCAGCAGCAACAGCAGCAGCAGCAGCAGCAGCAGCAGCAATTCATGGCGCCACTACAGTGGCCGTCTACATTTGATAGCCAGCAGCAGCAGCAACTGCAGCAGCAGCAACTGCAGCAGCAGCAAAATGGTGCTGCTGCTGCATTGCCGCGCCGAGTCAGCCGCACTCAACGCCGCGAGTCAGCAGCAACAGCAGCAACAGCAGCAACTGCAACAGCAGCAGCAACTGCAGCAACTGCAGCAATTGCTGCTGCAGGACGCCGACAGGCAGCGCAGCGTACCCGCGGTGCTGCTGCTATTGTTTCCCCTGTTGCTGCTGCTGCTGCTGCTGCTGCTACACCATTGCCTGCTGATGCAGGGGCAGCAGCACGGCTGCAGCGCAGCAGCAAACTCAAGTATACCCGCAGCAACAGCCGCAGCAACAGCAGCACTAACGGCAGCACCATCAACGGCAGCAGCAGCAGCAACAGCAGCCCCATTTGTACTGGTGTAGATGCTGCTGATGTTGCTGCTGCTGCTCCTTTTCCTGCAGCAGCAGCAGCAGCAGCGGTTGCAAGTGCAGCAGCACCTGCTGCTGCTGCTGCTGCACCTGCTGCTGCTATAGGCAGACGGCGCACTGCTGCAGAAGCACTTGCTGCTGACCCCATAGACAGCGAGGTGCAGCAGCAGCAGCAGCAGCAGCAGCAGCAGCAAACACTTCTTTACTTCCCTATAGAGGCGGAAGGCGCAGCGTGGTGGCAGCGAGGATGGGATGCAGCAGCAGCTGCAGCTGCTGCTGCTGCAGCAGCAGCGGGAACTACAACAGCAGCAGCAGCAGCAACAGGGAAGCAAATGCATCCTCTTCTTCGAGCACTCCTACACACTGCTCAGCAGCAGCCGCTGCAGCAACTGCAGCAGCTGCAGCAGCAACCGCAGCAGCAGCAGCAGCAGCAGCAGCAAAATCAGCTTGCTGCAAAAGCTGAGGAGTTGCTTGTGTTGGATGCTCTTGCATGCGGTGCTGCTTCTAATGTGAGCTGCTGCTGCTGCTGCTGCTGTTGCTGCTTGTTGCTGCTGTTGCTGCTGTTGCTGCGTGTGTTGCTGCTGCACCTTGCCTGCGATACAGCTGACTCCTGCATGCATGTCTTTACCTACAATTGTGCTGCTGCTGCTGCTGCTGCTGCTGTTTGTTGCTGCAGGTATCAGCTGCTGCTGCTGCTAACTCCCCTGCAACAAAGGTTGCTGCTTGGGTTGCTGCTGCTGCAGCACAGCTGCCTCCTCTTCGCGTTGCTGCTGCACATGCTGCTGCCTTCGCTCGGGCCTTGCTGCAGCAGCAGCAGCAGCAGGAGGGAACATGCAACAACGTAAGTGATGAGATATCTGATACCTTTGCTGCTATAGCTGCTGCTGCTGCTGTAGCTGCTTTAGTTGCTGCTGCTGCTGCTGCTGCTGCTGCACGGTTGCAGCACGTGTATTCTCTGCTTTTGCTGCAATACGAGTTGCTGCTGCTGCTGCTGCTGCTGTCTTGCTGCAGGCGGAAGACCCCATGGCAGTGTGGGGATCGGGATCCAAATCTGCAACAGGATGTGCTGCTGCTGCTCCAGCAGCAGCAGCAGATGCTGCTGTTGCTGCTGCTGCTGCTCAGTCAGCAGCAGGTGGAGCAGCAGCTCCTGGGCGTTGCTGCTGCAACAGCAGCGGCAACGACCCGCCATTAGCGCAGTGTGAAGGGAAGAATAGCAGCAGCAGCAGCAACAGCAGCAGCAGCAGCAGCAGCAACGGCAACAGGTGCTCCTACTGTGAATCTACTGCAGCAAAGCTTGACTTTGCTTCTCCTGCTGCAGTTGCTGCAGCAGCAGCATACAGCGGGTTGCCGCTTGCTGTTGCTCAGCTGCTGCTGCAGCAGAATTCGCATGCAAGCTACTACAGTACGCCTTTTGCTGCTGCACGGATAGTAGCAGCAGCAGCAGCTGTTGCTGCTGCTGCTTCTGCTGCTGCTGCTCTTGCTGTTGTAGAGGAGAGGCCGCTGGTACTGCCACTGCTGCTGTCGTCGTTGCTGCTGCTACTGCTCCCTTCATTGCTGCTGCCGCTGCTGCTGCTGCATCTGCTGCTGCTGCTGCTGCTGCTGCTGCATGCAGGTGAGGAGGAAGGTTTTTTCTTTGTACTAGAAGACATCGAGAAGGAAAAAGATAATTTGTGGGCAGCGCAAGCTGCTGCTGCACTACGAGTAAGTTTGCTGCTGCTGCTGCTGGTGTTGTTGTTGTTGCTGCTGCTGCTGCTGTATAACATATAGGAATGGGGGAAGCACTGCTGCTGTTGTGACTGTTGTTTTTTCTGTTGCTGCTGTTGCTGCTGCTGCTGCTGCAGGAAATGCTGCAGCAGGCGCAGAGTTCGCGCGCTACACCAACGAAAAGGAGAGCAACAGCAGCAGGAGCAGCAGCAGCAGCAGCAGCAGCAGGGGCAGGTTTCAAGTGTTCATTGGATACACCCCACAAGCAGCAGCAGCAGCAGCAGCAGCAGAAGGATCCCTCTGTGATGCAGCAATCTGCTGCAGAATTCATTGCTGGTGCTGCAGCACGTGGTACAACTGCAGCAGCAATAACAGCAGCAGGAGCAGGAGCAGGAGCAGCAACAGCAGCAGCAGCAGCAGCAGTGGCAGTAAAGACACGAAGAGGCGTGCTGCTGCTCGAGGAGCCTCTTGTTGCTGCACTAGAGGAATTAACACATAAAGTAACAGGAAAGGCAGCAGCAGAGGACGCAGCAGCAAGAGCCCTGCTGCTGCAGCTGCTGCAGCAGCACGCAGATAACTGCAGTATCCTACTGCAGCAACAGCAGCAGCAGCAACAGCAGCAGCAGCAGCAAAAGAAAGGTGAGGAGACACACAAGCCGCCAGTTACACCACACAAGCAGCAACACACCATACAACCCGACAAACCGCAACAGCAACTGCAGCAGCTGCAGCAGCAGCAGCAACTGCAGCAGCAGCAACAACTGCAGCAGCAGCAGCAGCAACTGCAGCAGCAGCAGCAGCAACTGCAGCAGCAACCGAAGCCGCAGTTGCAGCAGCAGCCGCAACAGCAACTGCAGCAGCGGCAACTGCAGCAACTGCAGCAGCAACAACTGCTACAACAGCAGCTGCAGCAGCAGCAACTTATGCAGCAGAAATTGCAACAGCAATCACAGCAGCAACTGCTGCAGCAGCAACTGCAGCAACACTCGCAGGATCAATTGCAACAGCAGCAGCTGCAGCAGCAGCAACTGCTGCAGCGGCCGCAGCAGCAACTGCAGCAGCAGCTCTAGCAGGAGCTGCAGCAGTGGCTGCAGTTTCTAGTGTACCAGTGACTGCAGCAGCAGCAGCAGTTGCAGTTGCAGTTGCTGCAGCAGCAGTTGCTGCAGCAGCAACTGCAGCAGCAGCAGGAGCTGCTGCTGCTATTAGTGTTATTAGGGTTTTTGTAGACTTCTTATTTAGTTTTTTTGTTTGTGAGGCAAAAAACAGTCAGGTGTTCCCCCCTCATTAGGGTTTAGGGTTTAGGGTTTAGGGTTTAGGGTTTAGGGTTTAGTGTTTAGGGTTTACGGTTTAATTACCATGCTACGGATTAGGGTTTAGGGTTTTTAGGGTTTTTTATCATGTAGGGTTTATGGTATATGAATTAGGCAGTTTAGGGTTTATCGTTTATTGTCTAGGGTTTAGGGTTTAGGGTTTAGGGTTTAGATGGGATAGAGGGTTTGGGCAATAAGAGTTAGGGTAGTGTAAGGGTATGGTTGTGCAAGCCTCGAGGGCTTAGGGTTTAGGGTTTAGGGTTTACAGGATGCGCCGACGGCCTTAATCATAGACAGTCGAGGGTTTAGGGTTTTCATAGAAAAATGACTCTAAAAGGGTTAATTGTTAACTGTTAACTTTTTACTGTTTAGGGTTTAGGGTTTAGGGTTTAGGGTTTGGGGTTTAGTGGTAGTTGAGGGGCCTCGGAAAGAGTGAGGGTTTAGGGTTTACTAGTCGTTGCCAACAAAGTGTTCGCTAAAATTACTATTAGTGCGGGTTTAATTGTTAAATATTTAGGGTTTAGGGTTTAGGGTTTAAGGGTTTAGGGTTTAGGGTTTAGGGCTTCGTGTTGAGGCTGCGAGTAGGCGGTGGTCGCGAGCGGCTGTCCCATGGGCCACCCGCCATTGAGGGTTTAGGGTTTAGGGTTTAGGGTTTAGGGTTTAGGGTTTAAATATTGTTTTAATATCTTCTCATCTATTTTCTGTTTTTAATTGAGGGTTTAGGGTTTAGGGTTTAGGGTTTAAGTTCCTTATATTCAGTGATTGGTGGTTTGACCCCGGCAGCACACCGGTCCAGACAGAGCAGCAGCAGCAGCAGCAGCAACGACTGCAGCAGCAGCACAACGACTGCAGCAGCAGTAGAATCAATACAGCAGCAAATAAAGTAACTGCTGCAGCAAGAAACCCTCGTGAGCTGTCTGTACACCTTGCCCTCCTAGCAGCCGCTGCTGCATTGCCTCGGCAGCAGCAGAAGCAACAACAGCAGCATAAACAACAAGAGCAACAGCAGCAGCAGCAGCAGCAGCAGCAGCAGAAGCAGAAATAACTGCAGCAGTAGCAGCTGCTGCAGAAGTAGGTACTGCAGCAGCAGCAGAAGGGGCAGCAAACATCGCGAGTCCCTAGCAGCAGCGGTAGTCTGCGAAGCCGCAGCACGATCTACTGCTGCTCCTGCTGCCCCTGCTGCTGCTGCTGCTGCTGCTGCATTGACACTTAATGCCTTGCTGCTGCAGTGCACGTACACTTCCCTAGGGTTTAGGGTTTAGGGTTTAGGGTTTGGCTTGTAGGCCCTTTGCTGGCGATGCTGCCCTTCTAATGCGAGCTGTGCATAGAAACAGCAGCAGCAAACAGCAGCAGCAGCAGCAGCAACAACAACAACAACAATAGCAGCAGCAGCAGCATCAACAGCAGCAGCAGCAGCAAACCCTTGTTGTATGCGATGTTATAAATTAGGGTTTAGGGATGTCTGCCTATAAGAGTACAAACCCTCAGGGTTTAGGCGAGGGTTTAGGCGAGGGTTTAGGCAAGGGTTTGCTGCGTTGGGGTGTATCGACTGTCTCCTCACAGGGAGACACAGCAGCAGCAAAGGATACACCAAGGGAGGAGACAGCAGCAGCAACAGCAGCAGCAGCAGAAGCAGAAGCAGAAGTAATACCAGGAGAGGAGGAGGAGACAGCAGCAGCAGCAGCAGCAGCAGCAGCAGCAAAACGGCAGCTGTCTGATCACTATAGGGGACAAAGAGACACATCAGGAGAAGCAACAGACACTTCTGCTGCTGCTGCTGCTCCTGCTCCTGCTGCTGCTGCTGCTGCTAGTAGGGGAGCTGCTGCTCCTGCTGTCCCTCAAGTGTTGCTGCAGGCTGCTGCTGATGATTATCATTATACCCCAGAGAAACAGCAGCAGCAACTTGAGCAATGGATAAAGCAGCAGCAGCAGCAGCGTCAGCAGCAGCAGCAGCAGCAGCAGCAGCAGCAGCAGCAGCAAGGCATAGCAGCAGATACAGCAAAGAAGAATATTTGTTACACTCGTTTCCAAGTCCGTATATCTTGTTGCTGCTGCTTCTTCTTCTGCTGCTTCCCTTGCTGCTGCCCTTGCTGCTGCTGCTGCTGCTGCATGCATGCATGCATGCATGCATGCATGCATGAGTGTGGGGTGTATACGCAGGTAGGGATCGGTTGGATCCGTGGATTGGAGACGTCTCCCCATCCAGCAAGAGGAGTCCTTCCTCGTCCTGAGTTACTAACAGGTATAACAGAGACAGGAGCAGCAGGAGCAGCAGCAGCAGCAGGAGCAGCAGCAGGCTGCATATCTAGCTGCCTGCTGCTCTCCTGTGTCCTATGGGGGCCCCTAGAGGACCCCCTTGAGGTCTTCTCGATCTTCCAGGGGGCCCACTGGTTACCTGCATGGGGGAAAAGGGTTACAGCACCAGGTACCCTTGCTGCTGCTGCTGCTGCTGCTGCTGCTGCTGCTGCTGCTGCTGGTGTTGTTGTTGTTGTTGGTGCTGCTGCTGCTGTTGCTGCGCTGCTCGTGCTGCTGCTGTGCAACTGTCTGTATGACTGATACCCCACGTCTGCTTGTATATTTGCTGCTGTTGCTCTTGCTGCTGTTGCTGCTGCTGCTGCTGCTGCTGCTGCTGCTGCTGCTGCAGTGTGTACAAGACCTAGCGAGGAGCCTAATGCCTTAGGGAAGGATGACGCAATTGTGCAGCAAGAATTGGAGATCTATTTGTCTCCTTCTATAGCAAAAAAATTAAATACGGAGACACCAGCAGCAGCAGCAGCAGCAGCAGCAGCAGGAGGAGGAGGAGGAGGAAAAGGACAACAAAAAGGAGGAGGAGGAGCAGCAGCAGCAGCAGCAGCAGGTAATAAGGAGGATGATGATCCCCCTCTTGCTTTTTTATCTGTTATACATATAACAAAGAAGAAAGTACATGAGCAGCAGCACAGCAGCAGCAGCAGCAGCAGCAGCACGCTGCTGCGTCCCCCTACTAATGTAATTAGTAATGAGGAGACACCAATAGTATATAATAAGCAGCAGCAGCAGCAGCAGCAGCAATTATATATTATAGGGACAGCTATACTCCCGCTGCAGCTGCTGCTGTCCTGCAGCAAAAAAAAAATAAATAAATATAAATATATACAAGAAGAGACAAAGGAGACAGAAAAGGAGACAAAAAAAGAGACAAAAAAAGAGATAAAAAAGGAGACAGAAAAGGAGACAAAAAAAGAGACAAAAAAGGAGACAAAGGAGACACTAGGTGTCTCCTTATCTCCTGATGGATCTCTTAGGCCTATGACTAAATTAAAAATATTTAATCATGAGGTATTTATTTATTTATTTATTTAATTTATTTATTTATTTATTTATTTATTTATTTATTTGTCTCCTTTATTTATTTATTTATATATTTATTTATTTATTTATTTATTATTTACTTATTTAGTCTCCTTTATTTATTTCCCTTTATTTATTTATTTATTTATTTATTTATTTGTCTCCCTTTATTTATTAATTTATTTGCCTTTATTTATTTATTTATTTATTTATTTATTTATTTATTTATTTATTTGTCTCCCTTTATTTATTAATTTATTTGCCTTTATTTATTTATTTATTTATTTA